AGCGATATACTATATGGATATATCCATTTCACGATTCTTTCATTTCTATAATTGGTTTAGTTACTAAGTTAAGTTGCGAAGTCTTATTATCCCTGTCGTTGTTTATGTCTGGGATTGGAACAAATTACTATAAGTCGTCCCCTTCTCCGTATTAATCGACATCTGTCACAAATTTTACGAACAGAAGCTCTTATTTTCATATTCAGACTCCTTACATTTCTTTTAAATTTACTTTAGAGTTTCGGTTTGATTGGAAGATTATAATAAAAACATTCATTTTTTTTTTTATTTTCAATTTCTAATTTTGTTATTTTTGCCAAAGAGATAGCTAAGTTTAAAAATGACTCCTTTGAATCATTGTTGTGTTGCAAAAGCTTCATCGACTTGTTCTGAAGTTATCCGTCTAAACTAAAAATGAATTTAGCCTATTTTCACAAAAAGAACTTATAATCCAATCTTTATTACTTTATTAGTTGATTATCTAAATCAATAAAAAAGAAAACCAGAACATACTATTTGAAAAGGATTCCTTAATAAAAAAATTCTTGAAAAAAAGGAAAGTGATTTTTGTTCTTTCATCCGAAGGACTTTATTCTTTATTTCAGTGACCTAGAAGCAATAAGGAATGGGGATTTCATTAGATTCTAAAATATCCCATTTGGGAATCATAGAAATGGAAAGTTTCTACCTAATTGGCATCTTGAAAATATTACCATATATAAAACAAAATCTCCCCCCCGATTCTTTGCAGTCGGGCTTCTCGGTCTGTCATTATACCACGTGAAGTAGAAAGAATTACAACCCCCATCCCGCCTAAAATTTTAGGTATTTTTTTAGACTTAGAATACATTCGTAGACCGGGTCGACTTATCCGTTTTAAATTTAGAATATTGCTAAAGGTCCTTTTTTTAGTGTTTATATGTTGCAGAGTTAAAACTAAAAAATTTTTGTTGTTTTCTCGATGATTTCTCACACTTTCAATAAAACCTTCTTTTAAAAGGAGTTTTACAATCTTTTCGTTAATATTACTGGGATGGGATTCGAACTGTTCTTTTTCCATCCCTATGAGTATTCCGTATAGAAGTTATTATCTCAGCAATAGTGTCCCTACCCATGATGAACTCTAATTATGGAGCTAAAAATTTTTCTACTCTCAACGTGTTTTTTTTATTGTCTATGGATTATTGTGTTTATCTTACTTTATTTTAATCTTAAAGTTATATACGTGAGACAGATTCTACTCCCATTTTTTAATTTTTTTTATAATACCTCAGGAGCTAATGAAACGATTTTAGTAAAATTTAATTGTCTTAACTCCCGGGGGATTGGACCAAAAATTCTGGTCCCTTTTGGATTTCCTTCTTTATCAATAACAACTGCGGCATTATCATCATATCGTATTATTATCCCGTTGCCACGTTTTAGTTCTTTAGAGGTACGCACGATTACGGCTCTAACTACTTCAGATCTTTGTAGAGGCATGTTAGGTACAGCTTCTTTGATAACAGCAACAATAATGTCACCAATATAAGCATATCGACGATTGCTAGCTCCTATTATTCGAATACACATCAATTTTCGAGCCCCGCTGTTATCCGCTACATTTAAAAGGGTTTGGGATTGAATCATAGCATTTTTTTTATTCTTTTCTTTCACAATGCAAAGGGCGAAGAAAAAAAGAAATATTTTTTGTCCACAAACATAAAACGAAACCTCTTTTTTTTTTTGTTTTTGTTTCATTCTTAAGATTCTTTGGGTTGGTTCTAGAGTTATATCGTCTATTCTATCTCCGAAATAATGAATTGAGTTTGTATCGGCATTTTTGATGCTGCTATTGAAATAGCTTTTCTGGCAATATTTTTTGTTACTCCACCCATTTCAAAAAGTATCCGACCGGGTTTAACAACAGCAACCCCAATATTCAGGGGATCCTTTTCCTGAACCCATACGTGTTTCTGCGGGTCCGTACAGTAACTGGTTTATCGGGAAATATACGTACCCATATTTTTCCTCCACGACGTGCATTTCGTGTCATAGCCCGTCGCCCAGCTTCTATTTGTCTAGATGTGATCCAAGCGGGTTCAAGTGCTTGAAGCGCATATTTACCGAAACAAATATGATTCCCTCGAGAAGCTATTCCCCTTCATTCTTCCTCTATGTTGTTTACGGAATCTGGTTCTTTTGGGGTTATAGTTGATGGATTTTTATTTATTCCATCTCTACTACAGAACCGGATGTGAGAGTTTCTTCTCATCCAGCTCCTCGCGAATTACGAATAAAGTATTTACAAAATGAGCGTTTGACTCAAATTGACTAATCATAGTGAAGATATCTAAATCTAAAGATAGATAATAAAAGTCTGGACTGAGAAGTCAAAATAATATTTAGGGATTGAGTGATCTTTTTTTAAATCTATTTGAATTGAAATGAATTATTCTACAGTTTTTTCATGATTCTCTGAGTCTAACTAATCCTTCATTTTTGACTATTCTTTATATTGCTTTAGATTGAATATTGATTCTTTTGAAAAAAGTTTTCGCGGGCGAATATTGACTCTGTCAATTTAGATTTCATTTCTAGGACGAGTTTGTGACATCTTATAGCTAGTATCTAGAAATAAAATAATTTAACATTGGTTTATTCCGCCATCCCAGCCAGTGAATGTTTAAGATTTTTTTTTATTTCATCTTGAATTGAATTGAATCTTTTGTATTCTCATAAGTTCCGTCGTCCCCATCACTTCTTACTTAATGGTTAGGTCCTAATTTTACAATGGAGCTCAAATAGTAATAATATATGAATAATTTAAGTCTTTAGCCATTTTTCTTAGTCTTTATTGGCTTTAAGCTCTTGACTTTATTTTTTTTATTTTATCTCTTCTATATTTAATATCTAATTGAATATTTATATATAGATTATAGATTTCTATAATAAGAGTATATTGTTTTTTATTATTGAATATTCTTAGATTTCTTATTCTATTTTAAATACTTTAATATGCAGAATTTAAGTATTAATGCTTCATTACATTGCCTGTTTTGTTAGACCCTACATATTGGAATTTTCAATCATTGAGCTTCTTTTTCTCCCTTTCTCTCTCCCTTCCAATTATCCACATCTTTTTTATATTTTGCTTCGCAACTTCAATAATATTTGAATACTATTTTTCGTTTATGCAAATAAATGGCAGTTGCTACAACGATATGAGCGGTAATCATATCGTGACTGGTTATTTAGATCCAGATAATGCGAAATTGATGAGTTAATTATTAGGTAATTTCTTCTCGAGTTAGTAGTTGTTACTTTGGGTTTGGTTTCATGCTAACCTTAAAAAATAAACGAGTCGCACACTAAGCATAGCAATGATATTTTTATTAAAAATAAATAAAATTTTTATTCAACCTTATAGAATTCATTATTATCAATTAGAACTGTTCCTGCTCATTACACAAAATAATTTGTGAAATGGCCGCTCGGTATTACAGGTAAAAAGAATGAATAAAATTTTATTGAGCTTGATCAAAAAATATCCAAATTTTTATGCCTAAAACCCCGTAGATAGTTCGAACTGAATAACAACAATAATCAATTTTAGCTTGAATAGTTTGGCGGGGAATTCTTCCTTCTCTTATCCATTCCACACGTGCAATTTCCTTTCCGTCAAGGCGTCCCGCAATTTGTACTTGAATTCCTTTTGTATCTGCTTGTTCAGCTAATTCAATAGCTTTTTTCATTGCTTTTCGAAAGGAAACTCTATTCTTTAATTGTCCAGCTATAAATTCGGCAAGAATATTAGGATTTCCATACGGTTTTTCAATTTTTGTGATAGCAATATTAAGTTTTCGGTTTACGAAATTTAATTTTTTTTGTAGAGCTTTTTGTAATTCTTCAACTCCCTGCGGGCTATTTTCAATGAATACTTTGGGAAATCCAATATAGATTATGACTTGGATTAGATCGAGTCTTTTTTTAATACATATACCTGCAATTCCCTCGGTACCCGAGGGTTTGATTCTATTTTTTTGTACATAATTTTTTATAAAAGCTCTTATCTTTTGATCTTCTTGCAGATTTTCAGCATACGTTTTTGGTTGCGAAAACCAAAGTGAATAATGGGCCTGGTTTGTACCAAGTCTGAAACCAAGTGGATTTATTTTTTGTCCCATAAATACCTCCTTTTCTGGATATCAGAATATGCTTTAGTTCTAGAATTTTTTTTCGCTTGTGGTTTTTTTAGCAAACCGAGCTCCACGGATTCAGAATCATTGAATGAAATATCTTTTAGTACAATAGTGATATGGCAGGTCGGTCTTTTTATTGGATAACTACGCCCGCGAGCCCGAGGTTTTAATTTCTTTCCAGCAGTCCCCTCATTAACTTCAGCTTGACTAATAACTAAATTTGCTTTATTTGAAGCCATAGTGTAACTAGCATTTGATGCGGCTGAATAAACCAATTTTAAAATTTGATAACTGGCACGATAGGGCATGAGTTCTAATATAATAAGTGTTTCCTCATAGGAACGCCCACGAATTTGGTCAATAACTCTTCGTGCTTTATTAGCCGACATAGCTATACGTCGACCTAAAACGTATACTTCTGGGGTTTTTTTATTTAGCATCTGGTACATAAAATTTGCCTCCTACTAATGACTTATAAGCATCAAAATATTTTTTAGTATTCACATTACCGATGAGATTTCTTATCATTTTTTGCATGTCCTCGAAAATTTAAAGTAGTTGCAAATTCTCCCAATTTGTGTCCGACCATATCATCCATTATATAAATAGGGAGATGCTCTTTCCCATTATGAATGGCAATAGTATGACCAATCATTATTGGAATAATAGTAGATCCCCGGGACCAAGTTATTATTATTTCTTTTTTCTCCCTTTGTGTTAAGTTTCTCAATTTTTTTTAATAATTTATGAGCTACAAAGGGATTTTTTTTTAGTGAACGTGCCACAGTTTACTCCTATAAATTTTTATTATTCTTTTATTTTTTTATTTTTCATATAATTGAATGAATAAATTTAATTTGTTCTATTATATTAATTTTTATACTATATATATTACATTAAGTATATTCACTCTATTAACTATATTATACTATTATATTTAACTGCGGTGACGAAGAATGAGCTTCTCACTATATTTATTCCTCTTTCTAGTTTTTCTTCCAAGTGCGGGATAACCCCAAGGGGTTGTAGGTTTTTTTCTCCCAATAGGAGCTCTACCCTCACCGCCCCCGTGTGGATGGTCTACGGGGTTCATAACTACTCCTCTGACTACAGGACGCTTACCTAGCCATCGTTTAGCTCCAGCTCTACCCAAATTTTTTTGGTTGAACCCAACATTCCCGACTTGTCCTATTGTTGCGGAGCAGTTTTGGGATATAAAACGGACCTCGCCAGAAGGTAATTTTAATGTAGCTGATTTACCCTCTTTTGCAATCAGTTTCGCCATTGCACCCGCTGCTCGAGCTAATTGTCCACCCCTTCCACGTGTAATTTCTAGGTTATGTATAGTCGTGCCTAAGGGGATTTCGGTCAAAGGTAGGGCATTTCCAATTTTGATTGAAACATTTGTACCAGAAACAATGGTATCTCCAATTTGAGCCCCTCTCGGATGTAAAATATACTTCTTCTCACCAGTCTTATAATGTATTAGACAAATGTTTGCATTTCTATTAGGGTCATATTCTATGGTTATGATTCTACCATATAGGTCTTTTTCATTCCGTCGAAAGTCTATTTTACGGTATAGGCGCTTATGACCCCCCCCCCCTATGCCTTGCTGTAATGATTCCTCTAGCATTACGACCTTTACCACAATGATGCTTTCCAGAGAGCAAATTTTTTCTTCGAGCAAATTTTGGGCTGTTTACGGTTTCGCTCGGGTTATAAGTTTTGTATAATTGTATTCCCATGATATAAATGATTTTTATTTTGGATTTAAAGTTTATTTGTTTGGAGGTGTAAGCCAATGTCTAATGATCTGCGGTAGCCATTGCATTATATGTCCTCTAATAGGGAGGGCCTACCATTATGTGACCCTTTGCCAGAAGCGTAGCACTACTCAAAGTTTATGACGTGGATTTCAAAAAAAGTCTATTTATTATTTTTTAATAACTAAATTCTTTTTTTTAATATTATATCTTTTATTCCATCCCGAATTTTAATTCATTCCGTATTATTTTAAGTTGAAATAAAAATGTTAATTTTGAGTGTTGATAGAATCTATCTATATCTCTAATATAGAGATAGATTCTCTATATGTATCGGTATCCTAGAATTATCTATTATGATATATGAAATGGAAATAGTCAACATGAAATCTATCTAGGAACATATATCTTCTATGATATTTGATATGGACAAATCTATCTAGGAGCATATATCTTATATGATATTTAATATGGATTATGAAGGAAATGCTCAAAGTAGATCTATGCTAATATATATCCTAAAATATAACAAAAATATCATAAAAAGAAGAATTGGAGGGTCAATGAGATTTTGTGTAAATAACTAATAGTGCTAATAGTGTGCATCCAGTAGGAATTGAACCTACGACTTCGCCAATTATGAGTTGGGCGCTTTAACCACTTAGCTATGGATGCTTAAACGAGACCATCATCTATAAAAATTGAAAATTAAAATATAATAATTATGGTAATTATGAATCTTGGAATTGCAAATAAAAAAAAAATGATATTTTATTTTATATGATAGGATATGATAGGAATAGAGAATCTAATATTCAATATCGAATTACAGCAAAAAATATTACATAAAAAAATGTCGTTTAAATAAAGAATTTCGGAAATCTGAAATACTAAACAAAGACTCTATTTATCATTTCTATTTTTACATTAAATAGTCAATAGTCAATTATATAAAACAAGTACTTAAAATTTTTGCATAAAATCTTATGGAGGTATGAGATGGAACCTAAGCAAAACAAGTTCTGGATTCTAGAATTACGAGAGATACTGAGAGAGATTAAAAAATCAAAATATTTTTTAGATTCATGGACCCAATTGAATTCAATCGGATCTTCCATTCATATTTTAGTCTCCCAAGAACGGTTTTTAAAACTGTTTGACCCACAAATTTGGAGTCTTGTACTTTCACCTAATTTGCAGGGTTCAAAAAGCAATCGATCGGTCAAGATTAAGGGAGTTTTACTAGTTTTCGTTGGCGTTGTTATCTTTATTTATCGTATTAGCAATCAAAATATGGTTGAAAGAAAAAATCTCTATTTAAAAAGACTTTTTCCTATACCGATGAATTGCAGTGAATCCATAACTGATCAAGATAGTGGTTATTCTACTCTAAATCGATTGAGTATTTTACTCCTTTCTTTTCCAAAAGGCAAAAATCAAATTGATATTGATTTACTGAATACGAACTATAATACTCGGGTTTTGCCAATAAAAAAAAAACCTAACATGCCTCAATCAAAGTCAGATTCGACGCAGGGGAAAAACTTTATTAGAGAAATTATTAGACGAACTAGAACGGAATTTAGAGAAATTCCAATGAAACTTCTTGGTTTAAATCTGGTATTATTAAAAGATAAAAAATCGCTGGAGTTTCCTTATGATTCCACAAGATCTAGTTCCTTACAAGTAAAAGATTCCGGCCAACCGAAAGGATCCTTGGATAGAAATTTTTTGGATTCCATTAGAAATGAGGATTCCGAATATTCCAAATTAATGAATAAAAGAAAATTTAAACAACGAAAACAAAGATCAACTTCTTGGGATCCTTACTTTCTTAAAACCGAACAAAAAGAGATCAAAGGCCGTAAACCCACGCTAAGCCTTCCGTTTCCGAAAGAAAGGGAACAATCTCGGGGCAATGCCCCGAGGTCCCTTTATTCATTTTACTCTGATAGATGGTCAGAACTTTATATGGGATCAACTCCTATTGCTAAGTCCAATATGGATCCGAAATTTAGGAATAAATCTCTTTCTTTTGTCCGGCAAGCGGAAAAGAAAGAAATAGTTAATCTATTTAGAATACTTACGTATTTAAAAAGGACTGTTTTAATTAAGTCTATTTCTTTGGATCCCGAAATAGAAAATTCGAAGAATACTGG